GCGAGGGCAAGTGAAAGGCAGAAGGTGTCAAACACTGGTCCAGATGCGGAACATCTTGATCGGCCCAAATGTTCGCTGGACTTCGTAGGACTGATAAGGCCTCTTCGTGGCTTTACGGTGGTGCTAACAGCTAGCTGAGGTTGCGGGTGGTAAATATGCACCACGCGTTCACGCGTTGCCCCGACATTCTCCCCCTACTGACCACCGCTTTTGACGCCTGGATATCTGAAGTCGGCCTTCTGGAATGCGATATTTCGTCTAACTGTCGCAATACACGCTCTTTTCACGACGGGCGGGGGATGCCTGCGCCACGTGTGCACAACTGCTGATGACTTGGTATTACATCACTTTTCCAGAAAAATCGACCTCGCCCATTAGGAGGATGTTCATCGCCCATGCCCGTATTTGATTCATTTTCCAAGCGCCCTCGAGCCGGGGGGCGGGGTCCCCCAGAGACCCCCTTTATGGGGGTCGACGAGGCAATTTCCAATTGCCGGGGGTGCCCCCCCAAGGCGACGGGCAAGACGCCCACACTACTGCGGTCCCGCCATACCTCTGCATCCATTACATCTATTATCCAGCCATCATCAATTTGTGCAGCGCATAGAATTCAAGAGCATTCGCGCTTCAGCTTCGGATTTGTCGACCACCCCCCTTGCCATACTGGTGGTTGGTAAATAGACAACAGTCGCCTTTGGCCTCAGCCATGCAGCCAAGTTAATTCAGACACTTCACATAACCTATCAAGCTCTCAACAATGAATGCTCCACTTCGGAATCAGCAACGTAATTTCCTCTTGTGCCTCTGAAAGATTCTTGGTTATCAATGTTCAAATCCTGGGGATGATGCGACCTTGACAGCGATGGGTCAGCGAGCGGAAGACTAAGGCCCTTCCTCGATCATCTGCTTGCACACGCCTAGGATCGATACCGGCGTCTACACGTCACAAGTCTTTGATATCGTACCGAGAAGTTAGAGTGGAGCCCCGACATCCCTTCGAATAGTCGGGTACAAGAAGACGACGGAACCGGGGATAGAGACTAGGTCCTAGGGCATCTTCAGGATGATAGAATGCTTAGGCTCAGTCTCCAACTTCCCATATATTGAACTCAATCGCTCGGGCAGAACAATGAGGATGGCTACAGGACAGGCTGAAAAGGTGATATGCGACTTGGCTTCAGGTGCCTTGATGAGTAGGAGGCTGACGAACAGTGCGCCAATGTAACTGGTTGACGCGCAATAGATCCTCCGCGTAGGAGCATGAGAGATGAGGACAAATCGAGAATGACCGGCGAATCTTGCCCGTCGCCTTGGGGGGCACCCCCGGCAATTGGAAATTGCCTCGTCGACCCCCGTAAAGGGAGTCTCTGGGGGACCCCGCCCCCCGGCTCGAGGGCGCTCAAGGAATGAACCAAACATTCGCATTGAGTACATGCATCATCGTAACGAGAATGGGCCTAATCAAACCGAGGAACTTATCCCCACAAGTTTAATCCGTTGCCATCCCGTTCTACTTGGGATGCGCAAGGAACTACCCGAAGACTTTAAAACAGACCAGGTTGAACACCACTGGGGATCACCGTTCGAAAAGGTGCGAGTAATAATCTAGGTTCACGCTCGAGACAATGAAGGGCTCTGTCTCTCATGCTATGGGATAGCAAGGGAGCACCCGGAGACAATTTCTGGCTTGATAGGTAGCTTCACATGCAGCGAGAACGACGTCCTGATGTAATCGAGAGTGAAAAGTCCTGCTACAGTTGTTCTCTTGGATGAAGTCATCGTCGCTGCTTTGAAGCAAGGCCCCTGACCACTACATTGTTGGCGTTACTGACTTTCAAGTGTCTGTTCAGATACCTTTTCAGGATACAAGCGGGAGGCTTTCCGAGGTGAAAGTTCTCTCAGTCAGAGTGATGTGGTATTATGCTGACAATGCAGATACTGCGCATGACGACTGCAGCCCATCTCCAGTGACTCAAGACGAACTCGATTGTTTGAAAGTTGCATCAAGCTGACACCAAAGCCAGGCCATTATCATCTCTAAGTTAGGATAATGGCGGTGCCTATACGCCCTTTCAATTCGCCGAGTACGAACTGTCAATGCGTTATGCAGTAGCGGAACACTTATTGAAGGCCAGGCTGCGATTGCCAAGGTCGATGCACAGAGCAATCTATAGCCCAAGGACAAGTATAACTCGCATCAAACCAGATTTCTATCCCTCGACAAATGAAATAAGCCCAAGATGTGCAAATTCACAGTTGCCGTGTCTACTGATCACAGTCACTAGACATTGGTGCGGCGATAACTTGTAAGAATAAGTTCTTATATACCTCCCTTTTGTTCCGATTGTGGGTACTGTAGCGATTCGGCTGTGCTGATTGATAATACATCCGAGTCATCGCATGAAGGCCCCAGGGACATCACCCCTTAAGTGTCTCATGCCTTTCATCTCGTATATAGCGTGATGCTGTCACTGGAATGGGAGTCCTGCAATTAAGTATTATATGCGAGACGGGATTTAGTGGCGGCCTAGCTGGTTTCTATAGTACATAATAAGCAGAAGCATGAATATAAACGAGTGAGAAATCGTATCTCAAATGCTGGCATTGTCGCCACTACCCATAAACACTCATCAACAATTCACTCATCGCGCTAAGCCCACACCAACAGTAACATACAATGGTTGCTAGTTACAAAATTCGTCTCCCTTCCGGGGATTCAAGCACTTGTTCAGTCAGAATTTGACTCAAACGTCATTTGATACAAATATTCCGTAAGTATTTGTAGTTGAATTCTGATACGCAGAACATACATTAAGGCGCATATTTCTAAATCCTTAATACGAAATTAGGATCCAGTAATTTGATAAAGCGACTCCATTTTGGGGTTTGAAAAGCCTCTCAATTCGTCTGTGTTGTGACCACTCATGACAACAATGCACAGTGGGAGTTGCGCTAGCTAACAGACTCATTCCCATTGCTTGCGTTAAGTTCTTTTAGCTTGAGGGGCAGGATTTGCAGGTGTGTCAATTTGAACGAGTATAGGGATATCAGCTCGATTTGAAATTCACGACTCAATCAGTGAATAACAGAGTAGGTACAGCTCTTGTAAGATGTTCACAGCAACTTCGCAGAACACAATATGGACCACTGCTGAGCTACAGGTAGGAATGTAAATGAATCTTCTAAAGAGGTGACGCTTCGTCTGTTCTGAGCTTTTACCCTCGGCGGTATTTCCCAATCATCGCTTGTTTGTCGTTCAAGGCCCTTGATTGTGTGTCACTGACGAGTTCGATATTTCGAGTTTTAAATTTTGAAACGCATTTTCAATGGCAAGGACATGTATATTTTGGTCGGCGAGTGTGGAAGTGAGCACTCGAAGCTGCACCTCAAAATTTTGCATAGCAGTCAAGACTGGTGAGTTCAGGTCGCTGTGGGAAGTTTCAAGAGTTGATGCCTGATGACTTCGAGTGCGTACGAGAGGCAGATTGACCGCGGGAAGCATTTCATCATCGCTCGAGTCTTCAAGAGGGGGTTCCCGGGCAGGCCAAAAGACACCGAGATTCAGGTGAGAGATAGGAGGCAGAGTTATTGAGCCATGAGGCGCTGGAGGCCCGGGAGCTTCAAATCGGATCCCTGGCGCAGCAGCAGTGTCACGAGGTAGGTTTTGAGCATGGCTTTGCTGGGATTCCCACTTCGTGGCTTGGCGACGGCAGGATTGCCATGAGTAGAGTCGACCAGTTTTCTGGAGAAGGAGGGCTGAAATATGCTTCCAAAAGCGCTTTCTGTGATTCGCGAGCATCTCACCGGACTTTTTTGACATGCACAGATCCAACAAAGTTTTGTGGTGGGCTGATGTCAATCTCCTGCCTCGTCTTGTACCCTCGCATCTTATGCCGGTGGCGACTGATTGGCGCGGCTCCAGTGCTGAAGATCGGCTTAGGATAGTCCGTCGGCCTGTCATGTTTAAGCAATCAGAATCATCCTGTCGAGCGCGGCGAGTGGCAGGGACTGATGAGGTAAAACACACCGCGTCTGTTACTCATGTGAGACAAGGGGCACCCAGCGTATAAGATCTTGTCGAACTCCGCAGGAGAAGATTACCACCTTTCCTATTACAGATTGATGATTCAGCGCGGGCTTAGATCCTATATTGCTGTTTTTGTATGTAAAGCGCACGTAAGCGTACGTATGGGCTATACAACTAGCCTATACGAATCAGGCAAGATCGCTCAACTCGATCGAGCACCTAGATAGAATAACCCTCTCTGAATGGTATCCAGTTGTACTAGTTCATACGCGTTCGCCCCTATCCGACATAGACCACCACAAGCGCATTGAGAGAGAAGTAGTCAAGGTGACCGTCTGCAGTCCCCATCGACAAGCTGGCCAGAAGCTCGCTTGGATCATAGTCGACAAGAGTTGTCTTCTTAAGTTCCAAAACGTTGGCGGAGACACGGCAAACTGTACTATCGGCAAATCTTTTTAAACAGGGAGCACCTGCTTTGCGTTCAATGACAATTCGACTGAAAGACCCGTGAAATCGCCTACATCGACCTCGTCTACCATAGAGCACAACACGTCTACCTCGCAGATGTGCTCAATGTCTTCCAACTCCAACTCCAAGGGCTGTTAGTTCAAAGGTCTGGAGCACCTAGTGGCTCGTTCAAGACCCTTTGGCACTCTTTACAGTATTTCAGTGCAGAGTTCTGTTATGTATCTGATTAAGTTGTTGATGGGTTGAATCAAATTCTTGAAATTGAAAAAAACTCGTTTTCTCTTAATGTGCAGGAAGGTCAACAGACCATGTGAAAATCATCAAACATTTCATTTGAGAAATGTTGTCCGCCCTTCCAATCATTCGTCTGTAGTTGAAATAAATGGTTTCCATAGGAAGCACAGCAGCCAGGTATCGAAAGCCCACTTGCATTCACCGGCATGTGCAGGAAGAGCCTTGCCGCTGGAAGGAAAGCGTTGCATAGTACTCGCGTAGTCCGAAAAGACTATGGGCTTTCTCTGCTGAGGGTGTCAGAAGTAGGCCAAAAATCCCAGTCGACGGGATCTTCCTTCTCGGGCTCTGACAAATCGGTGCCATGGACTGGCTCTTTCGAGATTGTAGACTTTGAGGGTGCCCGGCCGTCCTGTACATGAGAAGGAGACTTTGGAGAAACAGCTGCAAGACATTCCATTAGCAATGGTAGCCTCTTTTTCTCAGTCATCGATTTACTTGGGACGTCATTTTGCTCCATGTCTTTCATACCAAGCAGATGTTGATTGCAAATACCAGACAGCGTCATGTGGGCCAAGGCAGATGGGCGGCTGACAGAAGGGAAGTTCGAGACCAGTTATCAGAGGAAGCTAAAGATAAAAGACGACGACGACGACGACTTTGCGGTGATTATTCACTTTGACGCAATCAACTAAAGTAATTCACGGGCGGCCCGATCACACGGGCGGTCCGATCACCTAACCTGAGCATTAAATTTTAAACACATATATTACTACTAAAACGCTAATATATTGAACATATAGCCTATTTACGCCTATATGGACAGGAATTCCGTTTATGCTCTTTAACCCCACAATCCGAGCATGTAGGTAAAGCTCTGGTTTGCTGCTGCAAGGGTGGATTTACCGCTTCTACCGGGGGTAGTATAGCCGGTTTAACCACGTCTGGGGGGGTCTGTAGGGCCTGTAAGACATCTTCCACACTAATTCCACTTAGATTTTCAATCCATCTATTCGTCCGACGTCATTTTTGCTTCTTTTTCTCGCTTTCTGCCCGTAGAGCGCTATTTTCATACACTAAGAATATAGCTAAGTTCATAGCTAATTCACAGCCTTTGATAAGTTAATTTAGTACACGATCTGTAGGTATAGGGGGGCCCTGTGATCGCTTTTTGATAAGAGCTTTGATAGATAAAGCTTGTTTTTGTAGCTGTAAGAGATTCTAGGATGTTCTGGGCAAGAATATACTACCTACGCTACCAGGGGGGGTAGGGGTCTTCAGATAGATATTAAGCTTCGAAAGTACCTTAATAGGACTATATAGAGATAGCCCAGTCGCTAAGAAGCTATTTTAAATAGTATTTAGCTTAAATATATCTACACCTACACTTAGATAAGCCATAAGAAAGCCGAATTTATCAATATAGTTAAAGCCAAGACGAGTCTTTGATTCTACCAATCGTCCATATGCTCGCTTTAGAACCGCAAAACAGCCAACATCAAGTGGCTGTAAAAGATGTGAGGAGTGTGGAGGCATATAAATTGGTATAATATTATTTGCAGCACAAATTTCGTCGAATTTGGGTGTTAAATGGCTACTATGTCCATCGAGAACAAGAAACTGATATCCACCTTGTGAGTGTGATATATCCGAAATCAGCGCTTTTTGAAGCCAACATAGGCTAATTTCGTCTGAAGTCCATCCATTTGGACTATTATCCAATATCCAATCCTGTAGAAGGCCTTCTGCCCATGCTAAATTCAAGGATTTGTGCTTGAAGATAATATAGGGTGAAAGTACATATCCGGCTGCACTGATACATTCAATCACAGTCACCCATTCACGATTTCCAGGCTGTAAAAGTGCAAGTTTCCCATAGTATTCTGTACGTGTAATCACTTTAGCAGTTGCAGTAAGGCCCATTGCGAAGCCTGTCTCGTCGAAATTATATGGCGTCACCCCATATCTGTCAGGTTCAGTCAACTTCAAGCGACTCAGGCGCAGAACAAGTTTCACGAGGTCGTAGTGGCCTCGGTTGACAGCGTGCCATAGAGCCGTTCGTCCTCTGCAGTCTGACAGATTCACATAAATTTCATGATGTAACAGGAGAGACTCAACCATGCGGACAGATTGCTGTCCCTGGAGCTTCTTCACAGCCAACGCGAGATGTGGATCATGTTGTGAGCTTTGGCAGTTGACATCAATTCCCGTGTGGGTCACCAGCATCTCCACTGCGATATGGTGCCTCTCAGGATTTGCATGCTGTAAGCGGCGTCCAGCCGAGATGATCCGTGACATCAATCTCTTGACATTGAAGAAGCGCTCGACAATAGGAGCATCACCGCCAACCACGGCAAGTGACAGTGGGCCTCGACCGCCAAGGTCGCAAGAGGAGCGAAGATTAGGCTGATATTTGAGTATCAGACCCACGGCCTCTGGGTATTGCAGGTCAATAGCAAGAAGAAGAAGAAGCATATTCTTCCCTGCGTATTCAAAGTCGATATTCACGTGGTATTCTTTGATGAATCGCGCTGCAATATCCAATCTTTGGGCCGTCACGGCACCAAAGAGCGGCGAGACTTTATCAACCAAAAGGGAGTGGAAGAGCGCTTCAGTGAAAATGAGACTGGTTCGGCGACAGATCAGGCATAAGTTCAGAATGTGATTCGTTTGAAGATATCTGCAAATCCAGAACAAAAGCTCTGTTGGAAGTTCAGAAAGCATTAGGATCTGCCTTTGCCGTGTTGGGTGGTGCTAGAGGTATAAACCGCAGCAGATTGCAAGATTGATCACCTGGGACTCATAGCGCAGCGCACCTTCCCCTTATACGCAAGTTCTGGAGCACCCAGTCCTTTGACCTTTCGGAGACCCCCGGCCAGAAGCCTGCATGTGAAACCAGAGTTCGTGTCCCAAGAACACCACACATGGATCCTTGAAAGCACAAGGTCAGTCCTGGGATCATGATCGAACGTTCTGGGAGCGCTACAGCTCCCAGGGCCAGTCAAAGGGGTCCTAGCACCGGCTTTCAAGAGCTTGGGACTAGTTTGCGCATGCCGCGTTACCGCAGTATAACGGACATTCGTGTGCGCCCTCACCACTAAATCTACATGATGAATCATTTGTAGCGCGGGCGATGGGCTGAGCGAATACTGGGCGGCTAGCTCAATAGCTTGGATGTGCGGTCAGCGACCACCCTCAACAAGTGAGGGCAAGTTGACATACCTGCTCAAAGAGCAATACGCTCACCGACCTCAGTTTTCAACCTGTATCCAGCACTTAAAATAAAGCAATGGTGATTACAGAGCATGTCGACGCGGTGAACTAGTGATCCGCTGCATATGGGTCACAATTGTTGAAGTGGTGGTCGCTGATTCAACGTCGAAGCTTCATCAATGCTAGACGTAGATGCGAAGAACCATGACAGGGCCTGGCTCTTGAAAAATGTGTGGATTGGCTCCACGGCCTGCAGTATGTTATTGCACCGCCCGTCGCCTGAGTTGAAGAAAGCTCAACAGACCTCACTTTGTGCAGACATTATCAATGCCCCTCGAAATTGGCGACAGGCTGACAACGTCACTCAATGATTGGGTGAGATAGGCGACGACCAGGCAGGCCGAAATTATAGATACGGGCTCTTCCCCGGGCTTTGTCAAAGCAATTCGCAACCTTTTCGCGTCAGATGGGTCTTTTCGCCTCGAGGATCCGAGATGCAATCCTATAACAGACTCATGATAAGCTTTTCACCTATGACTCCCCAAGCTCTTCATATTGCTGACACGCACAGTGCATATCCCGACCTCTGCAGCTGTTCAGCTCTCGTCAGGCGCGCTGATTCGCTCTAATCGAATGTGTTCACATCCGCCAGACAGGCCCTGAGTCCTGGCTAGATCCAGCCTCTTCCGTGAGTCTACCTTTCAGCTGCGCCGAGCCGAGCTAATAGTATCACTTTCCACCAGCTTCCTAGGCCATGAGAGAAGAGGCAAGGCTCTCTATGCAGGCATGTCCCTTATCAGTCCAATACAATCGGAGACTGTACTGCAACAACAGATGTTACAAACAGCCCGGGCTGTCTGATTGGACCGCTCCAGGTCAGCGTGACAAGAATCTGCACCCGTTTGTCATCCACGGCCAATAGCCATATTCCTGGTCAGCGCCAGAACCTGTGAACTAGCTTTCTACGTGAGTCTCGAGCTTCAATATTGGTCGACTTGCTAAATGATGCCTGACAGATGGCGCCCCTAAGGAGGCCCCAGTGTTTCAATCCGGTTCGATTTACCCTGTCAGATTCAGAGTTTCACTCCCAGAACTATGCATCCTTCATCGTCTCGACTCATGCAAAAATTCGACAAGAGTCAGAGAAAGGGTACATGCGCACGCCGCCACGGTCGCTGCAGCAGCGAATTCGTGTATCTGGATCTTTGTGGGCAATAAGGTATCTCTGCCCGAGGCTTTCCCCCACGACCATTGCATAGATCGTCCGCCCTGATTTCAGCTGAGGTTTAAGCCTTAAGCGATTATTGACAATACAGGCAGCATCCGTTGGATCAAAAATCGGAGGTTGGGCTGATCCACGAACAAGATCTGTTTTATTAGTGCCGTGTCCCGTTCAAGCGAGGCGAAGAGCGGACAAGGTAAAGGAGAAAAAGGCTGTGAGTGGCCCTCCGTATATCCCTGTTCATGCTGACATATCTTGAAGCATCCTTTGTCAGATGGCACAGGCCGTGTCAATTCAGCGAGACATCGCACAACCCCTTCATCGTATCTTGTACGCGCCTGGCAGCCTCAATGGCTTTGTCGAGAGGCGATGAATCTCTTGCCGCGCGCACCGTTCCGATGTGTCCATATTTGCCGAAGGCATGGCCCCCTCGCCCTACAGTCAGTCAATCTCAACTAAACTGCAAGAAAAGTCGAGAGCACCAGCATCCCGACCACGCGGCGAGGGCAAAGTCCTGAGTCTGATGAGCTTGTATGCCAAGGGCCTCTGGAACGGTACGATTTCAATTCTCTGATGTGAAGACTATGACGAGAGAAAGCAGAAGGCCCTAATTCGATGTTTGGACGATCCCCACGGCGGGCATCCATCGTGAAATATGCACCAGTCCGAGGGGATGTACATTCAGCTCGCAAGGGTACCGCAAGGCTCGCCGTGCTGTGTTTCTCAACCTATTCTTGAAGGCAAATCTGGCGGATGTATCTGTCATCAGATAAAAGAAGCTATCGCTCTCTTCGATAGTCACACATTTTGTGGTAGCTCTTTGCTGAGACAAGTACGACCAACAACAGAACGCATCCGTCGGACATGAGATGGGCGTCGCAATTTGGCAGGGCATTTCAAGACAGAAGACTTCGTTCATCAAATTCACGCAAGGCCAGCGACAGCGCAAGTTTCTGCGTTCTCAGTAATGTGATATCTGCTTCGACAGCTCGGCAGCTCGTCAGCTCGGCACCTCTCCTTTCTCACTTTTGCCTCGATTGTTGAAAACAACCGGCTCCCTGACGCCCTAGGTGTTTCGCCCTAGATTCAGTCCATACCTGCCGCGCTGGATGAAGAGCGCAAGCCCAGACGGCATCTCAATATTCCGTACGTATAGAAGCACTCATGAGTTTTACCGAGCTGGCGTGACCTGAGTGTCAGCCACTAGACTGTAGGTCAACAATCTCTCTGATCCACTCCTCAAGTGGAACTCGACAGGAGATTCCGGGCAAGCCTGTGGCACATAAAAATATCCGGGTAAAGTCAAGCTGTCACCTTCCGCATTGGCCCTTCTATATCCGCGGCTCGATCGTCAGCATTGGTCTTGATGAAGGGTAGGTTCATGTCGACAATATGTGCAGACCCTGTTGAGCCAATGAGACCCACTGCTCACCAATCCGGTCTTCAACACCCGCAGGCTCCGCTTACAGCCATAATAGGTAAATGGGAGACGTTGAGTGACGATAGAAAAGGCTTGGATCATCTAGCGATGAGATTGAATCATCTTGGCAGCTTCTACATGGCCAGGCCCCGTTGATTCAGTTTTGCGCCATATTGGAATCTGGATAAACCATTGAAGCTCAACAGATCAACGGTGATAATTCAACGAAAAGGAAACTACTGGTGGAGTGATCTATCATACTCAGTTAATGAACCAGCCCTCCCTTCTACACAGCGCCCAATATTCGAGGTGGTGAAATTCAACCATCCGCCTTACCATGCCCTTTAACGAATTTTGCCACGATCTCAACGAGCTCTGCAAATTTGGCACCACAAACGAGGAAAAGATGGCAGTGAGTGAATTAGCTGGAAACGCTATAAGTATCCTGCCATTTCCGTGCTTCATTGCAACCATCCCTCTGCAAACCGTACTGCATCCTGGCAGGTCTCTTACACTTTCCTGTAAGTCTCTCTTTCCCAGCTCCTCGGCTTTTTGTCTCATTTTACCGGTGCTCATACGACTCTCTAAGCCACTTAAACCTAGAACTAAGCTTATCCAATGCTCATGCAGTACGCATCTCTTCCAGGTACGTTCACCACCCTCGTGCGAGCTTCGAACATCCCATCCTAGACTTTGATCCAGCTGACCTTCATCGTGTTATGAAAGCGGTCTGATACAAAAGTAAGACTTGCAAAGGGGAGATCTCCCCACCTGCTGCTGTATGGCATGAGGTGAGTACACCAGCTACTATCGATGACTCTTTGATTCAATCTTAGCCGCTAATTATGAACAGATGATCTGGAATTGCACTTATAGTGTCATCAGATACCAATCTCATAGTGTATCCAAGATGACCTAGAAAGCTTCAGTTATATTCTCAACCTATTCAGAGTAAGCTGTTGGTGATGCCAGAGATTGACAGAGTACAAACCTCACTGCCTGCGCGCACGATGAGAAGGACAGCTCCAAGTTGAGTTTCAATACTCAGGGCTTAAACCAGTGTCCAAATTTGAAAGACAAATGGGTCGAAATTGATTCATCCTAAATATGAATTGAGCTATTATTCAATAGTATCTGACATCCCGTTCCCAAACCGTGGCAAGAGTCAGAATCGCTGGAGGGATCTCCAATCTCATCGGCTTCTCTCAACCTTGCAGTCCTTGCACTGCTTTTCCTTGTGATTAAAGCTGCTGGCCGGTGCATCCTTGCCCACTGTGGTCGTTTCTTTCTTGCCGGTCGAAGGCGAGTCGTTCAAGCGCGATTTACGATGGGACGTTAGAATAACGCGAGGAAAGTGGGAGGCCTGATAATTAGCATGTTTTTCTCAAGTATCATCTGAAGATGACATACCATTTGATGGGAAACAAAATCCCAGAACCCCGGCTCGTCTGCTGAAACAATGTGTACTTCGCCAGTTTCACGAATGCGAATCCCGACGCACACATCGGCATGACAGAGGGCGCTGTATTCGAGAACTTTCTTTATGAGTCCTGCTCTGCGGCGGCATCTTTTTTGACGCGCCAGTTTTCTGGATTTCGATTGTGTAGCAAGTGTGCTCTCGCTTGCGGTCATTCTAAATCGTGCAAAGGTGGGTGATATTTTGATGCGATGCTGAAACTCGAAAGCGCAAATTTAAAGCAGCAGACTACACGTCATTTAAGAAAGCGTTATGAAACTTCTTCATTTACCAATAGAACTCATGGGTTCCCTCAAAGTTCAGCCTGGTAAACTGGCACAGCTATTGACCTAACTTTGAAGGCCGCTCTTCGAAGAAATGTGTCGCGGGGACTAAACAGAACGCAAGTTTGAACCTGTTCCACTTCACCAGTTCAACCAACACCCATCTTCTAAAACATTGGCTTGCAATGAAATTCAAACACTTCCAAGCTTCCATGGGATATTCATTTGTCATTGGGTCAAATAAAGAAGTCACGGAACTACACGAGGCCGGCCGCGCCTGCCTCTGGTTGTTCACCAGCGTCAGCGTCCGCAACGGGCTGGTCGGAACAGGGCTGGTTGTTCGCGTGAGCCAAGTCGACGTTACCTCGTCGAGCCGGACGGTCGGCAGTGATGACGCGCTCAATGTCCACTACGCACAGTTGGGGGTAGTGTTCGAAGCTGTCTCGTATGTCAGCACGGCACTCCCTCGCATCCAAATACCGCTGTGGAAACTAGACGTGACGATCGTTGTGAATCACCCTGCCGTGCTACTCTGTCTCGCAAAACCCCATCTCCAGAGTGGCCAGGTTCTCATCGTACAGATCACGGAAACAATCCGCCAGCTGACGGAGGCAGGGGTCAAGGTCAGTCTGAAGGCCCCTACTGATGAAGACCAGGAGATTACCACGCGAGCTAGATTCGGCTCTTCCGGGACCCCACACGAAAGTGCTGTATGATAGCCTGGATCGGGAGAAAGCATCGATACTCGCTCAACTCCGCACGGGACATGCCAGACTGAATGTATATCTTCACCGAATCGGTAAGGTCGACAGTGATATGTGCGAGTGTGGCGTCGAGCGCGAAAGAGTCCCACATTTTCTGCTTCAATGTACCCGGTGGAATGAACAACGTCGCGCACTAATTGAAGCCGCGGGTTCGAGTTTCGGCAGTCTATCACATATGCTAGGAGGCAAACCTGAGATTGTAGTAGGTACGAATCAACTGAATGGCAGAGCATGGAAACCCGACGTCAAGATTGTCAGAGCCGTCATCGCGTTTGTAATGAAGACGGGCCGGCTGGCTCCAGAAGGGTGAAGAAGAAAAAGGGCTGAATCGACTACGATGTAGTGTTTTGCTATCATATGTACATAGTCAGCGGTGCAGCGCACACTAGCTAGGGGGCTACATACGACCCAAGGTCGTGAAAAGCCTGAGAAATAAATAATAATAATAATAATTAGGGGTGGACTAAATAGCGCACAAATAGCCAATTTGAGTTATTTTATTGCAGGAGGTTTCGGACCACAGGAACACACCCGTGAAGATCAATAGTGAAGATCAATAGTGGGACTTGGAATTCTCGGCAAGGGCCTAAGATAGATATGCCGAATGCAAGAGAAATGAGAACGACTCGCATTTACTATGATAGTGGAAATATGCGAGGCTGCCAAGGGTCACCCAAAAACGATCGCGACAAAAAGAAAATGAGTTCTTATTTTGGTACAAGAGAAGAACTAGCCGGTCCCGACTCCGATTCTATAGACCGAATCTGAAAATGCAAAGCGTCCAAAGGGTTCGAAGATAAGGTCAAGTCAAGGTATGGCACATAGTCGGCGAGGTGAAGAAGCGCATGGCGGATTATGTTTATATTAGGGGTATCGAACCAAGGCAAATGCAGACGCTCCTGCTATGCTGTCAAGAAAAAGGTGCTCCGAGAACATGTGCAGGATGACGAACCACTTTTGGCTAATGGCCCTTTTCCTGATGGCTGTTCTTTTACTTTGCACCGCGCCGGCATAGGTCGGGCCCAGTACCATCTGGAACTGCGGCGAGAACCACTGGAGCCGATACTGATGAGACATGCACCTGGCTTCCTGTTACTTGTAGGCGTCGGTTGGCTGCACTACACCCCAGCGTGAGGAGTCGCCGATGGAGAGCAAGCCGTCATATTAGGGACACCTCGGCCCCGGTTCAAATTGCCCATTTGTGCTTGTGCGAAGGCCCTATACTTTGGTGTGAGAGGCGGGGTGAGGTATCCTTGGGCAACGGCAGTCAGTTGCTGGGACTTCTGAGGGGTGGCGAGGCTCATCTCGCTACCATACAGCCTGGATTCCACATGAGTCTCAACCGGTAGTGTGTAGTGGGCGTAGCTGACTAACGAAGCCTGGCGGTTGAAGAAGTGCTCCAGTAATTTGGAAACCCCCGAGTAGCGAGCCGAGGCGTACTTCCGGGCGGCGACGATAGAGGGTCGGTGAAGCTGTTGGGATAAATCAACTAGAGTTATCGAGTCATACTGGGCGTCCCAGCTGGTATGACAAGGCTGGTGTCTGTTGAGTATGTGACGCGACAGAGCCAATGCAGCGCGAGCAAGCTCAGACGACGGCCTAGAGACGAACTCCCGGCAAAACAGGGCAATTTCCAGGACATAGAGGGCCATGTGCTCCACCTCAGGGTCGTAGGCCTCATCGAGAAGGGCGATCTGCAGGAAACTGTCCACAGTCGGGTGGCCTATAGTCCAGTCTAGGGTCTGCAGGACATGTCTCTCCATTTGGATGAACATGTCGTCATCATATAGATAGCAGCACACCGACTCCAGCTCCTTGACAGTGGGAACACAGTCCTTCCTGTCATTGTACTTCGCAGCGATAAGGAGAGCTACACAGCCAACGAGCTGGTAGTGACGCCTGTAGACCACACGCTTGGAGCAGTAACGATCCAAGAGGTTGATGGTCAGGAAGAATGTCGACGGCAGGAGCTGGAATACAGCATGGGCCTCTATCATGAAGTCAAGGAGATAATGTCGCATGAACCACTCGATCTCGGGTTGGATGTCGATCGATTCAATATCCGGAAGTGTTTGATCCTGGTGATAAACACGATTAGCCAATATATTCCCGTCCCACTAGTACTCGCAGCAACTCACATCCATGTCCAGCATGTGGCTTAGGACGTCCTCCCTGAGCTCTTCGCTGGTGAGGTCAGATAGCTGATCCGCAATAACATACTGCCGCCCACAAGCAACGAGTTTCTCGTGCTCCCGCTTGGGTTGCTTCTTGAGACGCAGACGATACTCGTCATCCACAAAGAAGGTCTCACAGGGCTGGAAGCCAGAACGAGGGCGCGTGTAACCCATCGTTGTCGAGGTACTCGAGGACGACGGGAAGGAGGGGCGAGACTTGGACCGGCTTTGCTGAATACTGAATGAAGGGGTCTGGAGAGCGGGGATGATCAGGTAACGACGGAGTTAAGAGAATGACAATCGTCGAGGATTAGTTGAAGAAATGAATGACTGGAGACTAACTGGCAACGATTAAGGAGTGAAGACCACTGTCGGGACTTGGATGCAGGGAAAAGAGAGTCGGGTTCCCCGGGACGAAGTCTTCAGAAGTGAAAGCTGGCAGAAGAATGGGTGTATTAGCGGGCCGGGCTGGGATTAAAGCAAAAATTGGTGTCAAATGCGAAGAGAGAAAGATGAAAGAACGAGAAAATCGATACCAAGTGCTAGCAGAAAAGGGTGGTCAACTTCGGAGAATACTAACCCTACAAAGAGCCTTCGGGCAGAAGACACTGCGACGTTACCGCGATGGCGCTGGCATTTAGGCTGGAAAGAACGTGATAATGATCCGATAGATTAGGGTTGTGGTGGATGACAAGACTGAAAGATGAAGCAAGAGTCACCGTCTTCATCCCTGGGGCTCGGTGTACTGGCTGCAGAATGTGGAATGCAGACACGGGACAATCCTATGAAGGGCGGATCGGATTATCAGGGAAGGTGCATGCAACAGGAATGAACAGAACTTACACCTCAGGAGATGACGCGTTCTGAATGAGCGCCCGGGCGGATTGAAAGGGAGACTGTAAGATTGGGCGACCCCAGATATCATCCACAAAGGAGCAAGACGACACCCAAAAGCCCAAAATTAATCCTGAGTTGACCAGAGAGTGTAGGTCAATTATTCTCAAGGGAAGAGATCGGCGCGAAGACCCTAGACTTTGAAGATCGCAGGGTTAGGAGCGTCGTCGCGAAACTCATCTGACTCTTCGGCGGCGAGATGAATGAGAGAGCGAGTCCGTGAGCCACTCAATCTCGACCTCACAGCGTCCCGACTGTCTGTTCAAGTACGCCAAACCTATTACGGCGGACATCCATCCCTTGGTGGAGCCCCACTGCAGCGGGCCGGTGAAGCAACGTGCCATCGAAGCGCGCCTCGAAGTGGAGGTCCAGGCGTTTGAGCGCCACCATCGCCGCGAAGCCGAGGCCTACCATACTATCTTCCGGTACCTGTCCCCCCATATCAGTATTCACGTCGCGAGATTTGAGACGTCTCGCGACCTTCGGAATGAACTCAAAGAACGGTGCTGGCGGATGGAACTCGCCACATTCTGCTAGCTGTTCGCCCAGCTTCGCGAAACCACTGGCGAGCGCTGTGGCAGTGCGCGCGATTTTGTTGGTCGTGTACGGTTGCTCGTACATCGATTGAATGCTATAGTGCCCGGATCCATTGGCGATCGAACGCACATTGCGATCTTACTGACGCAGATCGGACCGGAATACATTCTAGTTGTGGATGCCATTCAGAATGACAAGGATCCGGTGAATCCGACCACGATCGGAAACCGTCTGTCTAATGCTGAGCAGACTGTTCGGAGAAAAGAAGCTCCAACACCTTTGCAGGTAGCATCTGGCTCGTCCGTCAATACGGTGCAGCAGACTGCCAAGAAATGCAATTATTGTAAGAAGCGCGGCCATGTGGTCGCGCAGTGCTCGAAGAAACAGCGAGAAGCTCAGCCGTCCAGGGACCATGCCCTGAAGGCCGAGAGGAGTGTTTCCGGCTCACCAAGAAATAATTTGCAAATGATACCATCAAGCCAGATGGCAGATCGGCAGGGCCCGCCGACTTCCAAGAGACCGAGGATCAATAGCGTCAGGGCGAGGGTGACGACCCTTTATACCCACGCACCGCAGCCCCGGTGGATCCTGGACTCTGCCGCTACCAGCCACATCCGCTGGGACCGGAGCTGTTTTACCAGTTTGCGGCCCCACCGCGAGGTGTTGGACGCGGCGGGCGATCCAGTAGAAGCCGAAGGGATTGGTACGGTGAAGCTCACGCTCCGGGGGAAGTTTAACCAACCCCTGGTGTTGAAGAACGTGTACTTCGCGCCACGCGTCGGGATGAACCTGATCAGCGTGCCGAAGCTACTACGAGACCGCTACTCGGTGGTGGCGCACCCGTAGAACGTCTTTGTGCAACGCCGAGGGCGAACCATGGGGACTGCGTACCATGCGGAGGAGGATCTGTTGATCCTGCGGTGCCATGTGAGCAAGAGATCTCGAGAGCGAGTCCAACTGGCGAGGGCGCCGACGATTCATGACCATGCAGATTCCCTGGAACCGCAGGCGGTGGCCATGGATGTCGACAGCCCTGAAGAGTCAAGTGGCGTAGGATGCGCATCGCCAACCTCTGAACTCGGTGGTGAAGCTGTGATACTCGAAGAAGATGCGGGCAAAGGAGTGGACCAGGCCTCCGAAGCGTTGTGGCACGCTCGGATGGGACATTTGAACCGGGGCGACTTGAGGGTGGTCCTCCGGCAGACCGGCACTCCGTACCGACCGCTGACGCAGGCGCAGCTGCAGGCAACGCCGCAGTGCCCGGCGTGTATGTCGGGTAAGCAGCATCAGAAGAGGAACTCCCGCGCAAGACGGCCACGTCTGCATTCAAGAAGAATTTTCGAATTGATCCATTCGGACATCATGGAGATGCCGATTGCCAAAGATGTCTCCAGGTACGTGATCACCTTTACTGACGATTATTCTCGTGGCTCGTGGGCCTATGCCATGAGATGGAAGCATGAAGCGCTCCAGAAGTTCCGACATTTTGAGGCTTAATCGCACCGACAGTTCGGGGCCCAGATTAGAAGATTCCTCACCGACAATGGAAGAGAATATCTGCCGATCGGAACACACCTCGAAAGCCAGGGAGTTGAGTTCGACACCTCGCCGCCATACTGCAAAGGACAGAATGGGCTGGCCGAACGCACGAATCGCACTATCCGGGAGCGGATCAACACGCTCCTGTCCGATGCGAACCTTCCTCCTTCCTGGTGGGTCGAGCTTGTCGACACGGTGGTCTATCTGAAGATGCGTGCGCCAGCATCGATCCTACAGAAGAAGACCCCGTTTGAAGTGATTTATGGGAAGCCACCGGCGCTCCTGCATCTGCGTGCCTGGGTTTTGATCCCAAAGGAGCATCGAGCCAAACTCGGGCCGCGATCGTCCGAGTGCCGCCTACTGGGCTACTGTGAGCCGAACCAGTACAAACTGTACGAAATTCATTCTGGAAAGACAGTCTTCTCCCGCGATGTCGACTTCGATGAGCGGACCCCTGTGGCGCCACTCATCGAGGGGGAAACAGGCAACGACCTTCCGGATAATACTCCTCCATCGCCCGTCTTTTCATCAATTCCACGCTTAGCTAGCGGGCTGCCAACGCCTCCTGCATCGCCATTATCTCCGTCGAATGACCAAATGAAAATGCCCGAGGAGATCCCTCCAGTGGTCAATCCGACTGAACAAGGACTTGATGTGACCTCGGATCTTGGGTACTCAATCTACGGTCGCCGACGAAGACCGTCGCGGCGTCTTCTGGAATCACTCGGTAAAGTATACTCGGCAGGCGCATTGAAAGCATGCCCGGACAGACGAGTCGATCCGGTGACCTTTGGCGAAGCTGTGTCAGGCTCAGACCAGCTGGACTGGTGGGCCGCTATCCAGAAAGAATATTCTTCGCTTCTTGAACACGGAACATGGGAAAAGATTCGACGAGAAGAGGTTCCGGCTAGTGACCATGTGATTGGCTGCAAGTGGGTCTTCAAGACCAAAGCTAACGGAACGCGTAAAGCGCGTTTGGTCATCAAAGGCTATCGGCAGCAACAGGGCATCGACTTTCATGAAACGTTTGCGGCGGTGTCCAGGATGGACTCGGTCCGCTGCATCGTCGCCAGCGCCGTGCTGCGTGGATGGAAACTCCACCAATTCGATGCGGTCACCGCATTTCTCCATGGAGACATTGACTCCTCTATCTATATGGAGCTGCCAGAAGGCTTTGAAGAGCCAGGATACGTGTGTCGACTGCGCCGCTCAATGTATGGACTGAAGCAGGCTCCGCGGATTTGGTACCAATGCGTCCGCCGCGTCCTGTCTTCTCATGGATTCACCATGGCCTAGTCGGACAATTGTGTGTTCTACAAGCCAGACTGCGTTGTCTGTGTCTATGTCGACGACTTTCTTGTTGCGGCAGCAAACAAACACAAAATCGACCAAGTGCAGCAAGCATTGCAAGCGGAGTTCCAGCTCAATGATCTGGGCATCCCACAATCATTTCTCGGGATCCAGTTTGACCACCAGGTTGACGGATCTGTATCTATTCACCAACACCAGTACATCCAGAAGGTGCTGTCGGATTTTGGTATGGAGAACTGTCAGCCGAAGTCTACGCCGATGAACCCTAAGCAAAGCCTGAATTCTCGCGCAGAGGAGGAACCTCCGGATGAAGAAGCAAAAGCTCGCTACGCGACTGCTATCGGCTCGCTCATGTATTTGATGGTTGGCACGCGACCAGACATCGCGTTTGCGCTAGGAATGTTGAGTCGCTTCACATCCCGACCGCAATCTCATCATCAAGTCGCCCTTCAACGGCTGCTACGCTACATCACAGCCACACAATCATACCGGATCACCTACCGCAGCGGGCAATTAATTGGATACACAGATGCCGATTTTGGTGGCTCTGTCGTCACTGACGGTGCCTACTCAACATCTGGCTATGTCTTCCAACTTGCAGGCGCGCCAGTTTCCTGGTCTTCTAAGAGACAGGGGGAAGTGGCCACATCTACAACCCACGCCGAGTATATCGGACAGTACAATGCTATTCTGCATTTACAGTGGCTTCGCACCTTTCTGGCTGAAACTCACCTGTACCGCTCTCCAGTCACCAACATCATGGCTGACAATCAGTCTGCCATTGCTCTCTCTCGCAATCCCGAGTTCCATAAACGAACGAAACACTTCAATGTCAAGTTCCACTACCAGCGCGCCGTGCTGGATGCTGGCGAGATTGGGCATCAGTATGTTCC